GGGAAAGACTTGCAGTTCAAACTGAGACACGCCGAATTTGAATGGATGAAAAGGAGAAAAAGACTGTGTCAGTGTGGTCCTTGAAACATTACTCATGATGGGCTGGGGGGGCCAGGGATGGAATGGAAACCACGTTATTCTTTGGCAGGGGTCCTGCCAGCCAAACACAGCTCACCACCTGTTTTCATATGGCCTGTCAGCTTTTTTTTTTTTTCATTTTTAAATGGTTGAAAAAAATGGCATTTCATGATGTGAAAATCATATGAAATTCATATTTCAGTGTCCATGGGAACACATCCATGCCCATGCATTTACATATTATCTATGCCTGTTTTTTAATTTATTTATTTTTGGCTGCCTTGGGTCTTTGTTGCTGTGCGCGGGCTTTCTCTAGTTACGGCGAGCGGGGGCTACTCTTCATTGTGGTGCGCGGGCTTCTCATTGCGGTGGCTTCTCTTGTGGAGCACGGGCTCTAGGCACGCGGGCTCCAGTAGTTGTGGCACGCAGGCTCCAGTAGTTGTGGCACGCGGGCACAGTAGTTGCGGCTTGCGGGCTCTAGAGTGCACGCTCAGTAGTTGTGGCACACGGGCGTAGTTGCTCCACGGCATATGGGATCTTCCCAGACCAGGGCTCAAACACGTCCCCTGCATTGGCAGGCAGATTCTTAACCACTGCACCACCAGGGAAGCCCTATGCCTACTTTCAACTACAACAGCAGAGTTGAGTCATTGCAACAGAGAAGTACAGCTGGCAAAACCTGTAACATTTACTATCTTGTTTTTCACAGAAGTTTGCTGACCCCTGACTCTACCGGATACTCAGAGCCTGTATAAAAAATATACATGAAGATTTAAGCTTATCAAGCTATAATCTTAAGAAAAATGAAGAAAAGAGAATAAAGATTTAGGGGCTTCCCTGGTGGTCCAGTGGGTGGGACTCTGCGCTCCCAACGCAGGGGGCCCGGGTTCGATCCCTGGTCAGGGAACTAGATCCCACATGCCTGCTGCAACTAAGAGTTCTCATGCCACAACTAAAGATCCCACGTGCCGAAACTAAACATGCTGCAACGAAGATCCCACCGCAACTAAGCCCCAGCGCAGCCTGAATAAATATAGTCTTTAAAAAGAGTAAAAAGATGTAGATCTACTCCAAGAAATCTATAAACTTCAAAAAAAAAGTTGCAGAATACTGTTAAGAAAAATTATCCAAAATTTGGAATACAGACGGTAGCATGACCTTCCAATATCATACTGGGGCACTGTTTCAGAAGCCCACCCAAGGATTATTTAATTACCTATAGGAGCGTATATTTGTTTGATATTGCTATTTAGATATTGTCCCAAAGAGATGCAAAACATCTATATCCAATGGAAAAATAACCTCAAAATTTGGTTTGTTTGCCCTGTAGGATACCAGCCAATTTTGTATCTAACCTAGTAATCATGTTCTAATATTCCTCTTTAAATGCCTATCAATATCCAGCTCCTCAAGATGCATTACTACCTTACTGAAGGGGAACCCCTTCACCGATGAGTTAAGACATCTTAGTTACATGTTTATTCTTTATTTAGATATATTTTTAACCTTCTGAAAATTATACTTTGACAGTACATATGGTGTGATTTTGTTTTTTAAATTATGCATGTAGATGTACACGTAGGTGTATGAAGTTACATCAAGAAGGGACTCAGGGCTTCCTAGTGGCACAGTGGTTAAGAATCCGCCTGCCAATGCAGGGGACACGGGTTCAAGTCCTGTTACAGGAAGATCCCACATGCCGCGGAGCAACTAAGCCCCTGCGCCACAACTACTGAGCCTGCGCTCTAGAGCCCGCGTGCCACAACCACTGAAGCCCATGTGCCTGGAGCCCATGCTCCGCAACAAGAGAAGCCACTACAATGAGAAGCCCGCACACCGCAACAAGTAGCCCCCGTGGCAGCTAGAGAAAGCCCGCGCGCAGCAATGAAGATCCAACGCAGCCAAAAATAAATAAATAAAACAAATTTAAAATAATAATAATAAATTTTTTTTAAAAAAGAAGGAACTCAAAAGATGCCCACTCACCGAACTGTTGAAGGGGTTACCTCTGTAGGTATGGGGGTGGAGCGGGGAGACTGGTACATTCTCATCTGTATGCCTGTGTATGATGCAAATCTTTTACAAGAACATATTCATACACTGTGGGGGTAATTTTTTTAAATGACATTGAGGTAGAAGCCCTAACATAAAAACGTTCGTTTGTATTCAAATGAGAACTAAAGTGCAAACAATTGTTTCAATGGTGTGAACACAGCTGGGCATCGGGCAACACCCCTTCAATGTGCTAAGATGGCGGTCTGAGGGTCTCTTGTGATTAATGACGCTGGGCAGCAATAATGGATGGTGGTGCCAGGCTTTATTTAACCTCACTGCTTCCAGGCAGGAGACTTCCGGTCTTGAGCTGACCGGGGACCTGACTTCCGGGGCAGACAGTCAGGCAGGAGGCAATGGGGCTGTTGGCCAAGTTCAACATCAACTCTTCTTCTGCAGTACTTTAGTTCCCGGGAGTTTGCATGTCCCTCCACACCATTTCTGGCCAGTTTTCTGACTTATTTTGTTGACAGTCCTGGAGTTCTCACCTCTCACATGTACAGAGGAAACGTTTTTTTCTTGGCATCTAATTGTCCCTGCCCATTCCACAGCCTCGGGTAGAAGTGGATATTAGTCTTAGTACTGATTCCCTCACTCATTGGCTGCGAAAACTTGAGCTGACAATCCCTCTCCGTGCCCCAGGCTTGTGTGTAAAATAGGATTTGTGCCACCAGTCCCAGCTTTCTCATGGGACTCCTGGAATGGTAGAGACAATGAGTGTTAAGATGCTGAGTGCTGGCAGGCAGCAGAGGGGAGAGCTGGTCAGCATCATGTGTTGGAAGAACATCTGGGGAGAAGACGGAAAAGCCAGTTGCTCTCCAGGGCCCACCTGGGGAGGATGTGGGAAGGTCCTGGGACAGCTATGGAGAATCTGTTGTCCCTTCCCTTACCTCCTCCCCATTAGGGGTTGGAACAAATACTTGGAGCTTGTGATCTAGCCCAGGCCTGCCCTCACCTGGTTACATCCTCCAGTTCTACTGGAGAGATCTCATTAGGAGAGATTACACCTGACCTCTCATCTGCCTAAGACTTGCTGAGGACCTACATGCCCCTTCACATTTTTTTTTGGCTGTGTTGGGTCTTCGTTGCTGTGCGCGGGCTTTCTCTGGTTGTGGCGAGCGGGGGCTACTCTTCGTTGTGGTGCGTGTGCTTCTCATTGTGATGGCTTCTCTTGCTGTGGAGCATGGGCTCTAGGCACGCGGGCTTCAGTAGCTGTGGCTCACAGGCTCTAGAGTGCAGGCTCAGTAGTTGTGGCACACGGGCTTAGTTGCTCCATGGCATGCGGGATCTCCCCGGACCAGGGCTCAAACCTGTGTCCCCTGCATTGGCAGGCGGATTCTTAACCACTGCGCCACCAGGGAAGTCCCCCCTTCGCTTTTCTGAGCCCCAGTTCTTCATCTGCAGAATGTGCCCACACTACCTCCTGCGTGGAACTGTTGAGTACTTAGAAGATTTGCCCAAGAGCACAAAGTGTGTGGGCTGGGATGGTGAGGTACGCTGTCCCTCCCTCAACACGCTAGGGCCCCGCTGCTCTGTACCTTTAGCCCAGCCCCCCTCCACAGTTCAGAGCTGCCCTGGCCACCCATGAAACACTCCTGTATTGGCTGGAAACAGCCTGTGCTCAAAAATCTTGTTCTCTATGTCCTCCTGATTCTAGAATCCTACGGCTATTCCAGACTGTGTGCTCCAGAACCGGAGGGGTCGGCTGCTCCTCCTGGGCAGTGTCCACTTGCTCAAGCTGTACCACCTGCCTTGAGTCTGTGCTGCCGCCTGGATGCGGTGGCGGGACCGCGTGGCCGTGCTCTTCTTCCCACAAGGCATGATTCTCACCATGGCTGCACTGATGCTCTTCTTCATACACCTGACCGTCTTCGCCAGCGACGTGCACAACTTCTGCATCACCCACCACTATGACCGCATGAGCTTCCGCTACACAGTTGTCCTGATGGTAGGCCAGGGCAGGGGCTCGAGGGCTGGTCAGGGGAGGCCCAGGGGCTGATGGAAACCCCCCTGTTGTGTCAGGGGGCCACTCTCCCACGGGATGGGGCCTGTAGTTCTCCCAGGTGGTCGGCATCTGCTGGGCCGCCATGGGGTCACTCTACGCTGAGATGACACATGACAAGTTTCGTCGATGCTTTTCCCTGACCGTCCTGAGTGAGTAGGGTGTACGCAGGGGGAGTGGGGAGCTCTGGAGCCCTGAGATGCAGCAAGGAGGGGGCAGGCGAGGCTGATGGGGGCTCTCTCCTCTGCCCAGTGCTCAACGGAGCCATGTTCTTCAACCGCCTGTCCCTGGAGTTTCTGGCCATTGAGTACCGGGAAGAGAACCACTGAGGCCTGGGGCCCAGGCTGAGAAGGGGGAAGGAAAAGGCTGCTTCGGGTGTTTTAATAAAGTCTGTCATTTATTTCCACCTGTCAGCTCCTTTGCGGGAGGGAGGGGGAAAGCTGGAGACCCAGGAGGAGCAGGTCAAGACAAATGTTTGATCTGCAGGAGCCCCAGGCCTAGCCTGCAGCCACTCTGGTGGACTTGGCTTTGGGCCTGGGATCTTAGTGTCTCAGGCTTGAGGAAGAGGAGCAGAGAAGGGCCCCTGGACCTCCCCCGCTACCCACCTCAGGCCCCCAGCTCCTAGGCTGGCCCAGCCATAAGCAAGGGCTCAGGAGGGACCCACACGGATGTGAGGGTTCATGAGTGGGTCCAGGTTGGGATCGCTGTCAGCCGCAGCCCGGCCCAGGCGAGACATGAGCGCAAGGAGGGCCAGGAAGCCCAGCAGCCCCAGGAGCAGCAGCAGCCCTGCCCGCTGGAGCAGGGTCAGCGGCCGCTTACGAGACCCAGCCCGGCTCCTGGGGGGATGAGGGGGAAGTCAGGTCAGGCCTCCAGTCCCCGGTGGCCCCTGCAGCCGGGAGAGGAGCCCCAGCCATGACGCTCGTCTTCCGGCCCCAGCGCCACCATCCCTGAGCCTGGTTTCCTCAAGGGTGGTCATCCCTGCACCTGCCCACTACCAGGCTGACTGTGCAGCTCAAACCAGCTGAGGCAACAACTGTGTTCTGAAACTTGAATGTGTTGGGCATAAGGAGAGTCACAAAGATTGGGGGGTGTCAGAGCAGGAAGTGGCCTCAAAGAGCCCGAGTCCGAACCTCATACGTAGCATGCAAGGAAACACCCGGAGGGGGGCAGACCCAAGCCCAGGCTTCGGTGCACAGCCCCTATATCAGGTCTCATTATTATCCAGAACAAGCCCCTTTTGTCATGAAATCGTCCTGCCAGGGTCTCTGGCTCTCACTTCCCCTCCTCCCCCTTCCTGGCATCCTGCCTCACCTGACCCCATGTACCTGAGCAGCTGGGCCAGCCAGCCCAGGGCAGGCCGGCGACGGTACTTGTCATCATCACAATCCCCATGGAGGCCTGGTGCCCGGTCATCATCCCGCGTGTCATACACCTTCCTTGGGGCTGAGGCTGCAGGGGCAGAGCCACCGGCATCCACAGGCTCAGGAAAACTGGCCCATAGCGGGGTGGGGAGAGGGGAGGGCAGGAGATCCCGGCCCTCCTCAGCCTAACAGAGCATCTCGGAATTGTGGGGAGGTAACGTCTGTGATGGAGTGAGGAAGGGTCCCTGTGGGTGGGTGTCCAGACCCCCGAGCTCCCTCCACGCAAAGCACCCCACTCCCATTCTATCCTCCTCTGGCCTGGACAATTCCCTGGCTCACCGTGAGTCAAAGGCTCAGGATTGCCCATGTGGATCACCATGTGCTGCTCGGGTCGGCTCGGGGAAGCGGGGGGCCGGGGGACTTGGCTGCAGAAGGCTGGGGCAGCAGAAGCGCTGGCTATCTCCTCTTGTTTGGGGCTACCACTGGCTGTGGGCAGGAAGAGAGCTGTCAGCAGAGCAGGGAGGCAAGGGCCCCAACAGCAGGTGGAGACCACCACTTACCATTAAAGCTGGACCAGTCAGAGAAGTCGGAAGTGTTGAGGGGCTCGGGCTCTGGGCTCACCACCTCGTCAATCTGGAGGAAAGAACAGATGTCACCAGCCTGCCCAGTGCTTTCCCCACCCACCCACCTGACCCAGGTGGGACCCAGGGGATACAGGCTCTCACCAGAGGAAGACCCAGTCCTGCCCGGGCCCAGTTGACTGTGGCCAGCTTCTCTCTCAGTGCGGAGGCCACGGGGCCGGCCAGGTTGCTTGGAGGGAAGATGGGGCCACTGCAGCTGGGGCACTGGTAGCCAGCAGGTGCTGTGTTTCGGGGTAGCTGGGCAGCACGTTCATTGAGGCAGGCCCAGTGGAAGAGATCTGAGGGCCCACGAAGTAGTGGAGGGAAGACATGAGGAAGAAGACACTCAGGACCCCTACAGCCCAGCAAGAGCCCCCAGCCTGCTGCAGAGACACACGCCACACAAGCGTACGCCCAGGGCCTTCTCCTGCCCATCCTTACCCCAGGTCCACTTATTCCCTGGGACTTTGGCCTTCCTGGCCACCACTATCTAAGTCAAGGCAGATGCTACCAAACTTCTCAGCCCACTAGGGGGTGGGGGGGTGGGTGGGAAGAAGATGCCACCTACCCTTTGCATGAGTCCTCTCTGGACTCGCACTCATCACAAGCTCACTGGGCTAACAGCTCATCAAGAACAGTTTCAGAAAAGGTTACTAGACATACACATAGGAACACGTATGGGTGTACACATCCATGGGCACAGAAATACACGTGTTTATACACATGTCAAACGCAGGTGCCATCCCCTACATCCATACATACGGGCACACTAACTCTCACATACACATCTATACACTCACGTCTGCTAACACTTAAGCACCCTCATCCAGGAATTTTCCTGCAACCCCACAACACACCTGTGCTTATATGTTCACATACAACAGTTACCCATTCATTCACCCATAGTACTAATGAATACACTAACACTTATGTAAAGACACAATGCAAGTTCAATTCATGCACATATAAACACACAGTGAGAAACACATACATGGAGTGCACTCTTTTACACTAGTTCCTTCAAAAAGTGGAGCTAAGGCTCTTACACCAGAGTCAGGTCAAGGTCATGACACATGCCCCTGCTGACTTCTTTTAGCTGACATTACTGTGAGGGATGCAGTTCCTCTCTGTTTAATCTTGGAATCAGAAATGGATCCTTAATGTCTGAAAGCCCCATGCTTTCAGCTCACTGCTGGTATGGCCAGCTACTGCTCACAGCTACAACCACACCCACAATTTTGACTGGCTCTCGCTCAACCCTAGAGATTGGCAGGGAAGAAGCCAGAAGCTTTAATTTTTAGGGAAAAACACTAAGGCCTCGAAAGGGGAAATGACTTGCCTGAGCTCACACAGCAGGTAAGTAACCTAGCTGGACCACAATCTGGGGCTCCAGCCTCCCAGGCTTGAGAGGTCACTGTCCTGCTGCTTGGGGAGTGCCTGGAAACTGGTCACGCTGGGCCTGTCCTGATCCCCCCATAAGGTGCCCAGGCCTCACCATAACAGACCAGGCGGGTTGTCTCCCGGGCGGCCAGGGGTATGTTGCAGAGACGGCAATTGGGGTTGTAATCGCTATCTTGGAGCCACTGCAGGTAGGACTGGACGATGCACTGAAGTGGGAGAAAGAGGTCACAACTGGAGCAAGAACTCCACAGCCCATCTCCCCAAAGCCCAGATGCCTCTTTTTCTCTCATCACAGAGGAGATTGATCCTTCTGTTTGACCAATCAATAAACATTTATTGAGCACACACCGTGTGCCATACTCTGACTTAAGCACTGGGGATACAACAGTGAACAAAATAAACTAAGTCCTTGTCCTTGTGGAGCTTCCATTCTTGGGCCAGGCCCTTCATGGATTTGGAGGAAGTCAATACTACCTGCCCACCTAGTGCCCTGCTCAGCCGCTCCTCTGAACACCCACCTTGGCGTGATTGGCTACCAGGCAGTGCTCGCAGACGTTGACCCGGTGCTCGAAGCAGAATAGGTTGGTCACCTTCCTCTTGGGGCACTTGCAAAGCCCCATAGTCGACCCTGAGCAAGGGGTCTGAGTTGGCAGGGAGCCAGGTTCTGGTGGCCGCCACAACGCACTCACCAGCCCAGTTGTTTCCACTCTTACCCGCCCTAGACACCTCTCGTACTCAACCCAACCCCAAACTCCTGCCCACCGTCCCTCTCCATTCCGGCCACGCCCCCTGCATAAATCCCACCTCCGGAGACCCCAGATTCCTCCCACATCCCAAACCTGGCCAGGCCCCTCCATCAGTCTCTCCGATACCACCGGCCCCGCCCCTAGGGGCCCCTCCCGAGCCCCACCCCCTCCAAGC